AATATTATTTATTTATTTATATTTTTTGGAGACAGTGTCTCACTATGTAGTTCAGGCTGGCCTTAAACTCACTGTGTAGCTCAGGTTGCCCTTGAACTCACAATGATCTTCCTGCCTCAGCCTCCCCAGTGTTGGTATTACAGGCATGTGCCACCATGACTAGCTATTTTATTGTTAATTCCTACCTATTCTCCTATAAATTAAGAATTATAAATTACATATATATTCAGTGATAACCACAAGGATGTTTCCTAAAGTAATCAGACAGCAGTGCAACCAGAGTACCAACATCATGGTTGTCTTACTATATCAGACTTCTGTAAGACATGCTTGAATTTAATAAATACAGATACATATTATATATAAAGGGATTTTTCTTAGGTCTCATAATATATATATTAGATTATATATGATTATTAATAATATAAATAGCTAATAATTTAACCATACAAAATTTCATTAATTTCATAACTTCACTAAAACATTTCCTATATCTAAAATAGTGCGAGACAATTTTCTGACTATTATAAGAACAAAAATCCCAAAATGCCCCAAAACAAAAATTATAAGTCCTATATTTTATAGTTTATAAATTATTTAGTGATATTCAAAAGCTAAGAAAAGTAACTATTTATTGCTCATGGTGTCAGAATACAAAGTGATCAAAGGGGCCGGGGATTTAGCTAAGTGGTTCCACCACCTGCCTTGCAAGCACCAGGTCCCGAGTTAGATCCCCAGTACCAAAAAAGAAAAAGAATACAAAGTGATCTCATACTGAAAAGCAACAGGAAAAAAAATCAAATATTGGAATTCTGAAAGGGGCAAAAAAGAAAAATATTTAGAGGAAAAAGGTAATTCAAACATAATATACTTTATATGTGTATTTCCTTGTGAGGAAGTTCTTTAACACTTCTATTGCATACCTGAACTACCATTCCCCCTAAAAGGCAAAAGAGAAACTAGCCTTGAGAATTAGTTATGAATTTGAACCCATGTGCCTCTACCAATGTAATAAGTTAATTACCTTGAACTTTGCTTTCCTCATCTATAAAATGAACTGTTTGTTTGTTTATTGACAGGATATCACTATGTAGCTCAGGCTGCCCTCAAATTTACAGTGATCCTCCTACTTCAGTCTTCCAAGTGCTAAGTTTACAGGTGTGTGCCACCATGCCTGGTCTTAAATGAATACTTTAGAATCTTATACATGGAATAAAATGCAGGACTAAAAAGAATCACATTTCCTTGATGACAAAGTAGAGTGCTTGGTAACTTTCTAATGACTTGTGAGTACAGTTAACTTTCAGTCTATAATTGCAAGTGATTCCAAAAGCATGTTCCATGGAACTGGATGATCACTCAAAATTGGTTCAATGGCCACGAAACATGAGATGAAACTAGATTATCCTTTATCATGCCAACGTGTACTATCAAGTGGTTGGGTTTAGAGCATGCAACAGACTATGATTAAATGCCTTTTTCTTGAGTGAGATCTTACAGAACCAACGTTAAGAAAACAAAACCTGGAAACTATTGATATAAACAATGCTTGGCAGGGAAAGTTGCACAAGGAAATAAAGCTAATTCAAGATTTTAAACATTTTAGGAATTACCTCTTCTTCTTCCTGTGCTTCTACTGTTGGTCCATTATGTGCCTCCTGGAAAAGGAGTTTCTTCATTTTTCGATACTGCAGATTGTCCAGCTCTCTTACTGCATCCTTTGTCCTTTGAATAAGATCTATCAACACTGTTTCAGGGCGCTCCCGAAGAACAAACATGTGCTGGAGGGGGTAGAAACTTTTCTTTTCAAATAGTGCAAATGTACCCCTTCTCGGACTCTAGAGTTACTATCCTATGACATATAATGCATATAATCTAAAACTATCTAATTCTATTACAATTATGACTTGATATTTAACAAAATTATTTATAAACATCTACTCTGTGCCTAGAAAACCACCCTTGCATGTTTTATAAAACCTTGAACTTAATATTTTTGTTGGCCAACTAAAAATAAAGACTTGAAATTATCAAAGGGCTGAAACACTAAGAATTAAGTCTAATCTGAGCCTGTCAATAAAGGTTTACATATTATAAGAACTGATGATTTCTGAACTATATTTGATTTCAACAGGAATATTTATGGGAAGTGAATTAATCAACCTGAATTTAGATACTATGGACTCCTTTATATGCTATATAAGCAAGACTGCATAAAACATTAAGGATGATTAGTAATTTTATCAAATACAGGAAAGCAGAAAGAACAACTCCATTATTAGGATTATTATGGTTACTCTTTATTTTTTTGCTGTACTAGAGATTAAATCCAGGGCGTACCTAGGCAAGTACTCCATCACTGAGCTACATCCCCAACCCAATCTTGCTTAGTTTTTATTTATAATTAGTTGCTTAGTTTATTTATAATTCCTAGATACATTAAAGCTGAAAACTTACTGCTACCATGAATGCCTATTTATTGAAGTTTTTATTTCTGAGACCACAAATAAATTCATTGCATAAAATTCCTTAAGCACTACTGAAATTTCATATTACTCTTCTACATAGTGTGGCTTCAAATAATGTTATCAAATATACATATGATCTTTAAATTTCTTTGCAGCTTTAATTTAGCTAATGTTTACCAGTAAAATAAACTGAACTTCTTTGAAACTGCAAAATATTGGCATAAAAAGTTTAAATTTTGTGAAAAAATCAAAGAGTATTTAGGGTTACAAAGTGACAGAATGAAAATGAAATTCATTACTGGTATTGTTAAAATATTCAACTCCTGGGCCGGAGATTTAGCTCAGTGGTTTTGCTGCCTGCTGCGCAAGCGCAAGGACCCAAGTTCAATCCCCGGTA